AATCTCTTTCTCTATCGAAAGTCGCCTGCATTACAGAACCATAGAGTAGTTTTTAGCTCAAGAAATAGCAATTGTTCATTTAAACAAAATTCAAATAATTACCACCTTCGAGCCCATGAAGCCCAGATGTGGATAGCAGTCCGTCAACCGCGTGAGAACTCACAGCCCACACTTTGGAAACAGATATTTAGTTCTTCTTCAATTTTCTTTCCATTTCATTCGATAAGGTTTCTTCTGCACCAACAGTAGGTTTTTTTGATTTGTTCGATAAGATTCTTAAAAATTTCACTGAAGTCCTACGTGGCCGCAAAACGTAAAACATGCGCGGTTTCCAAAGTCTAAAGATTTTCTGATGAATGGGAGTGAAATCTTTCGGGCGGAGCCTATGCCTCGTTGAGTCCATAAGGTCGCACTGTACTGTGATAGCAAGGGTAGGAGTTATCCAGGCCACGTTCACCTCTTTGTAACTATCGAATGGGACGCGCACGGTAGCCCAAGTGATTCCATCTATACGTTCAACCAATGCGCTTTTAGAAACCTTTTCAGCTATGCTCAATGCGCACATATTCGGAATTTTGCTCAGTGTTGCCGTCCTGGCAGTGCTAGACAGCGGTCTATGTTTATCGACCGAAGCAAGGGAATCTCTCAGCAAGGTAGGAATTTTATAGAAGAACAGAATCGGAACGATTGGAGCACTACTCTCCGGTCATGGTGAGTGGTTTATTAAAAAGTGTAGGAGACACGGAAGAGCGGTTTTTCTTCCTTATAAAACAAGTTCGAAGATGGGCCCGGCTGGGCTCAGATTTGGAAGACGTTGAGCTGCGTGTGAGAAGCATGACTCCCAAACGTACCTCGGTATTGAGTCGCGGTAGATTTTCAGGGTGACACTGCGCGTAAAAATTTCATCTAATAATCGCGAGATCATTTTCTTCTGAAAATAAAACGATTAAAATCGATTCATGGTCTCTTGATCAAAGAACTTTAAATCTTTTGGAATCTTTAAGACCAACCTCATCACCACTTTAAGGCATTACATAATATAGTAAATATTTCACGATCAAAGGCACTCCCAAGAAACGGAGTGATGTGGTCTTCGCACCCGCCAAAGATATAATTGGTGAGGATTAGATTGGTGAAGATTAGAAGTGGCTAGAAGGCTGGCAGTTAAGAAAAATGGACAATAAATCATCGGAAACTTCGACGTGAAGGAATTGGTCATTGCCTCGATTTGACCGTGCTGCGGCCGTACTATCTGCGTCTCGCTCATCATTTCACAGAAAAATAGTTTCTAATTTCAAACTTTTTGACGAATTTTTCTACTTGTTCCTTCATTGCTTCCATGGAACCGCACGTCGTTGGTTATCATAAAGGTTATAAAAATGGTGTTAGCTGCTTCAGAGCGTAGCAGATGGTCACCAAAATTCGAGAAACCCGGTTGAGTGGACATGGCCCTCCCAAATGTGGGCGAATGGATGCTGCTCTTACAAGGAAAGGCTCCCAGGTCGCCATGGCCATTCAAGAAGAGATGTATACGCTAGATGTGCCTTTGAACGCTGATCTCAAATCTACCTTCCAAATCTGCTAAACGATTCTCTGAACGGAGTTATGAAGCAAAACAGCGCAACGGTAGTGGTCGGGACTCACAGTCAAGTCGTCGTAGGATCGGTCCCTTATCGAGTTTTAGGAATACAGCTAAGCGGCTCTTAGTAAGCCTAGATAGTTGAATTCATTTCGAAACAAGCAGTAAACTCGATAAGAGACCATCCTACGACGATTTGACTGTAACTCCTCGACCACTACCGTCGCGCTGTTTTTGCTTTCATAGCTCTGTTTCATGGAATCGTTTAACCAGATTTGGAAGGTAGATTCAAGTCAGCATTTGAAGGCGCATCTAGGCGTACACATCTCTTCTTGAGTGGCTATGGCGACCTGGGAGCCTTTCCTTGTGAGGCAAGCGAGCTCATAAATAGCAAAGGCCGAGGTTTAGCCACTACCTCAAACCTTGTGTCAGTCAGGTATTTCTCTCCAAAACCTAAATATAACGAAGTCACCACTCCTAACTACAGAGCTGGCATTTAGAAAACTGCACTCTAAAGATACTAAAAAGCAGTCATTGTATGGTTAGGTCAGACTGAAGACCAGTTTACCTCTGTAGGCATAATTAGAACCTTCAAACAATAATGAAGGTCTCAAGGTCCTGCACCCAGTCTTAACAAATGATTTCCCTACGAGAGCAATTTGCTATTCAGGCGCTCCAGGTATAGACATAGAAAAACGCCGAGAGAGAGACTTGAGGAAGTTGGGACGTTGTACTCCAAACGCTACAATATAACGACGGCCAAGCAAGCATCAGCACACCAAGACGAACCACTACAGCCAACGGTTCTGGGAGCAGAAGTGAGTAGCTGGAGAGCTTTCTTAGAACTTTAGAACGCAACATTTCGAGATTTTTTATCCGTAAACCTTTTTCCTGTCGGCCATTTATTAATTATTTTATTCATTAGCTATTAATTTTCAATATCTAAACTACGGGAGTGGAGCGTGGAGCGATTTTTACGTTGGTGCTGCTGCTGACAAGCATAAGGAGCATAATCGCACAGAACAGTAAAGGCGAGCTAATGATTCCCTCAAAAAGCAGCTGTGCATCGATGGGATTCTATCGGTAGAGGGATCGCAGGGGTCGACAGGGTCAACCGTCCGTTCGAACTAGTTCGAACGGGGGGGGGGTCGCATTTGTGTGTTGGGAGGGGAGGGAGGGGTCGCATTGGTCGCACTGGTCGCATTGCGCGCCTTTGGTGATTAGTGGCGCACGGCATAGTGTTTGTGCGAAAAAAGTTGTAGGTGGGTTTTGGGCTGTGTCAACTGGTCTCAGAATCAAATACTATAAAAGAGGGAGAGGTCGCGGTGGAGGAAGGCTGGTTGTATTGGGGGGTCGCAACTGTGTGTTGGGAGGGGTCGCAACTGGTCCCTCTCGAGAGGGGGGGGGTCGCAAAAATCCCGAAAATGTTCGAACGTGACGGTTGACCCTGGCTCTGTATCTACATTGGTTGGTAACTTCCTGGAATCATGGCAAACACGACGTCAACGGGGAGGAGGCATTGTGACCGGGGTGAGCCACGAGGAAACTTGGCCATCAATACGAAGCGCTCCCATTTGGGATTCCATTATGGGGCACATTCGTTGCAGAGGTCTTATCCATGGTACCCAGCAGTAGGCATACCTGGGTTGAACGAAGGGATTCGCAGAAGTGGAGGTACATAGTCTTTCGTAAATGACCGTAGAATTCAACCAATTCTTGAGATTAGTTTTGGAACATGCCCAACCTTCCCTGAAAATGACGCGATTGCCTTCCCTCCAGAAATACCACCGATTTCACCGAGCGTATCCTGTCACTTGAAGGTGGAAGTGCGCCCGTGTATCATGCTTCAATCCCTATGACGTTAACCTCACCCTGCATCCCTCACGAATTATACACACAAAGTTTTTACTTTCGCTCAATTCACGCAATTCACAACTGTTCAAGGAATTGGCCAGTGAGTTCGGCAACAACACTGAGCTGAGTCTTGAAGAAATCAACCAGAGTGAAGACGTTGCTGATTACTTGTTCGATGGTGACATCAACCTTACAGAGTAAGCTCGAGATCATCCAAGGTCTCCGATGCACCTTGGCAAAAACGACATTTTTTTCAGAAAACAACTCGAAATGATAGAAGCTAGTTTGATGGAAAACAATGTGACTCGCCGCAAACGTCAGTTGGATATCGTTACTCCACGTTGGCCAAACAAGCGCCTTTACTACACCTTCGACGCCAGCATAAGTAAGCGAAGCGACATGATATTCATTTTTATCATTAATATATTATTTAAAATGATATTAACATTTGAGGCTGAGGCAGATGTGAAAGAATTCATATTATCCATTTAACCCGTTCGCGTCAATCTCAATCACCGGCGGCTGACGGGCTTCCTATGTTTAAAGCTTTTGTGAACGGCTTACGTACTCTGGAATGATTTCTCGAAGGAGAAACCTGCGTGAGAATTTCATGATTTACGCCTAATCCCGGACAGCTAAATTTTATTATCCACTACGATTTCATTGGAAGAAGAAGATCCAAGGAACTTCAGTTTCGTTCAGGGACTAGTCTCAATACATCAAAAAAAGTTTCCTAGGAACTTTCTACTTTTAGAACGCTTTTAGAATCCAGGGGTTTGCCTTTAATTTGAATTGGGCTGCCTTTTCAGCGTAAATTTTCCTTTAATGTCGTTTTCGTGGTCAGGATACCGAATAAACCTAGGGTTACCGATTTTGGCGAAGTGTCAGCCGCACAATTTGGTGATACCAGCAAGGCTCAAAGGAAGGTGGCACAATAGATTAGAGGTTGGTGAGGGTGGAGATATTTACTGTCAAGGGGCGGTTAGGGGCCACTTTGCTGAGAAGGACGCACCCATAGCAACATAGCAATACTTTATCCCAACTTTTAGACGTCTTCGGTCTCACCTACCGACTGTTTACCCCACCTGCTGGCTCTCGTTTTCGGACTCGAACCGTTTAATTGAGAAGCAGAGCAGAATGTGCACGTTGATGGCGCAAGCTGTGATTTGTTCCGTTCCACACAAGAATCAACGCGGTCCCGTTCTGTAAGCTTCACCACTCCCTTACTATTTCTTCACTGCTGCACTCCTATCAGGTCTACTTTCGTTCCCAGTGGGCCTAGGTGACTTTAGGAGTGATGAAGCATCGAGCTCTCAACAATCCCTTCTTTGGTGCAAGACGAATTTCGCTATCATTCTGGGTTGTAATGGCATAGCAAAGCGCTCTGTAATAATTGCGGGAGTCAGTCGATGTACGAGCCAGTCCAGATGAATGGAGCATTTAACAAGCGATCCCGAAGGGGCGTGTGGCTTAGTTGCCCTCAACACAAGAACGATTTATCAGTATCGCGAATTGGTTCTACCGTGATCCACATTGCACTGGAGCGCGCTGTTGAGCACTGGACTGCGCAATTCTACTTGATCGCTAGTACAAACGGAACTAAGCCTGGAGCAGCTCAGTATCTATTTCCTCGACTACTGGTTAGCCCCTTCCCCAACATTCTCGCACCGTTCGCCTCGCCGCTTGCGCGGTAGTTGCGAGAAATGTACCAAAGAATAATTTACTGGCCTCAACAAGGTTAGATCAGGGATTCAATCTATGGGTGTATGCGTTTTTATTCATGCCCCTTGCCACCAGGAGACTTCCTTAAAGGAATCTTCCACGGAAAAAGCTCCGCCCTCATTACCACAGAAAACGATACCTTAAAGGAATCTTCCACGGAAAGAGTGATCATTTTGTCTTGTGTGTAGGATTAGTATTATCGAAACTAACGCTTATGTTCCGTTCTTTTTGCTATGCTCATGAGGCTAGGGGCCTAAGGGGTATCGTTTTTCTGTGGTAATGGAGGCGGAGCTTTTTCCGCGGAAGATTCCTTTAACCTTGCCGCAGGACAA